CTTTGAATGACTCCAATATATATATTTCCTTAAATCAAAAATGACCACCAGTGGGTCGCTCCAATCCGCACTGCACCATCCTCCAAGCCTCTGTTGAGCTGATGGTTGGACAACTAGCATCGAGAAAGAGACCAGGGGGGCCTGGGGCTCTTTGGAGTCAAATTCACTCCCATTCCAGAACACAAGACAGACGTTAGGTCAGCGGGTGTCATCAAGCACCTCCCCCTCCAGGGGTGAGGAGCTGGGCCAGGCCTCTGTCCAGAAGGTGGCCTTGCTCCTCAGCACAGGCCGCTGCAGCCTTGACTCTCGGCCTTCCAGTCAGGAGCTGCTCTGCATGGACTAGGCTACAACAGTCAGGGCTTTCTGAGAGGTTCTGGAACTTTCTGTGCCAACCTTGTGGTTTCCCACATGTTAGTCTTGTGGAGCTGCTGTAACAGATTTCCACAAACTTAGTGGTTTAAACAACACAAATTTCTTATCTGACAGTTCTGTAGAATAAAAATCCAACACGGGTCTCTGAGGACCACGTTCACAGTGTCGGCAGGACCGTGTTCCTGTGGGTGCTCTGGGGACAGGCTTTTGCTGGGCCATTGCCAGCTCCCAGAGGCTGCTCTGGGCCCCCCTGCCTCCATGTTCAAAGCTGGCCATGCTGCATCTCTCTGTGCCTTCCTTCCCTAGTCAGAGCCACCTTTGATTTTTTCTCTTGTACCTCCCTTCACCACTTAAGACCCTTGTGATTACATTGGGCCCACTCTGAATATCCTGGATAATCTCTCCATTTTGAGCTCCGCTGATTAGCAACCTTAATTCCATCTCCAAAGCCCCTCTTGCCTTGTAAGGTGAAATATTCACAGGTTTCAAGACTTGGCCCACTAAAACTTGGACACCTTTGGGGGCATTATTCTGCCTACCACACAGGGTTGGCCTTGGGCAGTATTTCCCTCCGATGTCTCCGGGATGAGGGCAGAAACAAGCTCAGATCACAATTCTGGGCTCTTACCACCACATCCTGACCTCTGCGCACCCAAAATAAAGCACCCGTCAGCTTACCCATGTCACCGGGGCCCGCATGGCCAGCTCAGTCTCATCTAGAATGGAGACTATAATATGGCATCTGCCCAAGTGGGTGCCGACTAGGTGTCCCTTCTCCCTTCCATTCTCTTCCACTCCCCCAGGGTGTGGCGAAAGACCCGTCTTTGAGGGAACCACTCGACACTCGAGAATCGTAGGGGGAATGGAGGCAGAGGTGGGTGAGTTTCCGTGGCAGGTGAGCATCCAGGCAGGAAACGAGCACTTCTGTGGAGGCACAGTCCTCAGCAAATGGTGGGTCCTCACCGCCGCTCACTGCTTTTATTCCGAGAACCTATCGTAAGTACTGAGAGCCTCGCCCTGCTGCTCTGCAGTGCCCACCCCGAGCACCTTCCCACTCAAGCCAGACCCGATTGCCGACAGGGATCCAGGCTGTCCCATCCCACCCCTCCCTTCCAGCCCTGGAGTTGTAGAGGTGGCCAATCTGAGGCCTGTCACCCAGGGCTGATGACTACACTTCCCCAGGGCACGCACTGTCCTCTCCAGGAGCACCGTGGCTCAGTGGAGCCAAAGGGCTTGGCCCATCTGCCTCTCCTAGGACAGTCAAGCCCTTCTGGGAGGAAATCCTTTCCATTCTGGAAATCTGGTTTCTGGGGCCACCTGACCCCTACCTCCCTGCTCCTCATGGTTTTCTCTGTGCTCCAGCAGATCAGGGGACATCTAGCATTTACTGATTACTAACCATGCACCTGCCACCCAGCTAAGAAACTTTACTTGTATTAACTCACTTCGTCAGACCATGACCCTCTGAGGTAGGCAGAAGGAATAACCCTACAGATAAGGAATAGCCTTTATGGATCAGGAAGCTGACGTTCAGTAAACTGAGGTAACTCACTCAAGGTACATGCCCAGTAGACAAAGGAGAGATCTGAATTCTGGCTCTCACACTATGTGCTATGTTATACCACCTTGAGAAAGTCTGAAGATACCCAGGAAGGCTGCCTTTAAAGGGCTGATCAGAAACCTGGGGAAAGTTTCATCATGGCTTAACCAAGAAAACTATGGCACCTGTTCTCATGGGATACCTGGGGACTAGCTATTGGAACATTCCTGGCCCTTCTGCCTGGATGAGAGTCCTGGATATTGACTTATTCCTGAAGATCCTTTCTGCATAGTCAGTAGTGGGTCCAGATTAAAATCTGTTCCTGGGTCTCTAATTGCTGATAGAAAAATCGATATAAAGCAGATGTCATACCTTTCCTATCTGAGGCCAGTTTGATCTGTGCCGAGTGGTCTTCTGTGGGCTCTTCTGAGTGCCTAAAGCTGGGCTCTGCCTTGGCTGCTCACAGGAGTGTCTCGTTCCCACCTCCAGGATCCCGAGGGAGCAGGGGTGTCGCTGGGTCTGCTGCACTGGCTGTTTTGCCCCCTCTCCACCTTTTTCAAGTTCTCTCATCTGAGCAACAGCCCCCGGGGGTCCAGACCGCAGGCCCCTAGGACACTAGGGGACGTAGTCTCTCCAGGCGCAGCAAGTACTGTGCACTTTAGTGACTCCCCTCCCCACCCGGTCCTATGCCACCAGTCCAAAAGATCTGACCGTCGTGGTGGGGGCCAACGACCTAACCAGCTCGTCCGTGGAAGTAAAGGAGGTCACCAGCATTGTCAGCCACAAGGACTTCCAAAGAGCCAGCATGGACAACGACATCGCTTTGCTGCTGCTGGCCTCGCCTGTCAAGCTCAGTGGCCTGACGGTGCCCATCTGCCTGCCCTCACGGCCCCTGCCCACCAAGTGGCACGAGTGCTGGGTGGCAGGGTGGGGCCAGACCGATGCCGGTAAGTGACCCCTCAGCATCTCCCGAGAGCAGCCAGGGCACAGCCACCAAACCTGAGGGGAGGGATGGGGGGAGGAGAGCAGGAGTTGAGCTGAGCAGATCCCTGCACACAGGGGCCTCGCGACGGCCCAACTTCAGCCACCTCTGGGTGCCGGGGAAGCTTCTCCACGCTGAGACGCCAGGTCTGCACCAGTCCTGGGTGTGGTTTCATTGAGCCAGC